CAACTTGGTTTTGCGCACTTTTTTTCTAAACGCTTTTGTATGTGAGTCTACCTTGATGAGTTACAGATTGAATTTGCATTTTTCCCCCGCTTCGATGATTTTTGACGGAATTCTGATTTTTTAAAAATTTTTTAAGTGGAACCAGATTACACTCTCCGGTAGGGGACGAATATTGATTATGCAATACTCTCAGAATGCATATTTCTTATTTCCTCCTTTGTGAATCTAGATTAATTCATCTCCATTTGGTCCAAAGGCCTATGATTAAGACAAATTTGAATTAATACAAATCTTTGAACAAAAGCCAAGGGTTTTTGATCCACTATTCTACAAGGAGCGGAGTGGATAAAAAAAATCCTTGGTCTGCGAAAAAGTATTGTTACACTACATGAGGATTTAGTAATAATAATAAATTGAAGCCTTATATTCAGATTTCATGTACACACTATATTTCAAATGTTTGCCAAGAGAACTACGAAATAAGAATACATTGCCAGGTTCTGCTCTTGGGATTGTTTTAGAAACAATATTTCTTAGCTTTATAGAAACCGTTCAAGATATTTTCATCAAACTTCATTGAAAGATACAAATTGACGAGAGAGCTATTCAATTTGTGTCAAATTTTCTGACTTTGATCTTTCCTATGACCTTGACTTCATTATTAATTATTTTGGTTTTAGCTTCGAAACTGTTCATATTATTTTCATCAGACTTCATACATCAATATACAAATTAGAGATAGCTATTCAACTGCGTCATTATTTTTTTTTTTTTTACCTTTGTTTCCTTTTCGCATAACTTCACTTTTCAAGGTATTTTATAAAACTTTACATAATGTTACATATTGGTTAGAGCAATTAGACTATGTCTCAAATTTTCTATCTCCCTATGACTTCGACCTTCCCATGACCTTGAGCTATTAATTCACTTCTGAGGATTTTTTAATCAAATTTCATACAAAGATATATATTGGTGAGAGCAATTCAACTGTGTCATGATTTTATAACCTTGACTTTTCCAATGACCTCGACCTCACTATTCCTTCATAGGGTAAAAAACAAGAGGCCTGGGCCACAACGCTCACCCGAGTAACTATGGCAAGCCCGTACAACGCGGGGGGGGGGCTACTTTTTCTTGAGTATAGTATTTTGGTATGGTAAATTCATCCTTTAGAGGCTGATCCCCCACATTTTGTTGTTATAAGGTCGAGCACTGGCAAATTCCAGAATTTGGACACTTAATTAATTTATTTTGAGGTTCCCTCCACTTTTGAAATCGTTGAAACGGGCTTATATGGCCCTTCTGTTCTTCATCGTCAGATTCTTTTTCCTACATATTCTTATGTAAAACTTTGATATTATATTATGACCCCAGCCTACCATGGGAGGTCATAATTTGAACAAACTCCAATATACACTACTGGAGGATGCTTCCAAATAAACATGACTAATCATGACTTTGCTGTTCCTGGGAATTAATAAGGTTTCTAAAAACTTCTCCTATATATTACTTTGTAAAACTTTGATCCCCGTGTGGCCCCGCCCTACCCCAGCGGTCACGATTTGAACAAATTTGAACCTACACTATCAGAGGATGCCTCTTTATTAATATGACTTAGATCATGGCTTTGTTGATCCTAGGAATGAGGTTTCTAAAGACTTCTATATATTCATCTGTAAAACTTTGTTACCTGTTGTGGCCCTGCCCTATCCCAGGGGTCATGATTTGAACAAATTTGAAATCTACACTATCAGAGGATGACTCTTTATTAATATGACTTAGATCATGGCTTTGTTGATCCTAGGAATGAGGTTTCTAAAGACTTCTATATATTCCTCTGTAAAACTTTGATCCCCTGTTGTGGCCCCGCCCTATCCCAGGGGTCATGATTTGAACAAATTTAAATCTACACTATCAGAGGAGGACTCTTTATTAATGAGACTAATAATGGCTTAGAGCTCTGTTCTTGAGAAGAAGATTTTTTACAGGTATTTCCTTTATATTCCTTTAAACTTTTATCCACTGAGGGGGCACTGCTCTGCCCCCAGGGGTCATATTATGAACAAATTTGATCCTACAGTATGTAATGAAGCTTTCCCCTAAGTTTTATCTTTTTTGGCCCAGTGGTTCTTGGGAAATTTTTTTTTAAAAGATTCCACCAAATTTTCATGAATTCCTAATTATCTCTCCTTGAAACAAGGCATGGTATTTAATTTCCTGTAATCAAACTTAATTAAATCCCTTCACTAAAATGCTTTGTGGCAAGTTTGCTTAAAATTGACCCAGTGGTTCTTGAGAAGAAATTGAAAAATGTGATGTTTACAGACAACACATGGCATACAACCAACAGACAGATGGACACTGGACACTTTTTGATCAGAAAAGCTCACTTGAGCCATTGGCTCAGCTGAGCTAAAAAGGGTTCAAGATATTTTCATCAAACTTTGTATACTTATACAAATTGATGAGAGAAATTAAAGTTTCATTAATTTTTTTCCCTTGATGTTTCCTATGAGCTTGAATTTCACTTTTGAGCCGAAGGCTCAAGTGAACTTTTCTGATCAAAGGTAGTCCTGCACCTGCGTGTTGTCTGTTGTGTGTCTTTTATATTTTCAACTTCTTTTCAAGAACCACTGGGCAAATCTCAATCAAACTTGTCAAAAAGTATCCTTGGGTGAAGGGGATTCAAATTTGTTCAAAAGAGTGACCACACCCTATTTCAACGGAAGATAATTCAGAATTTGTAAAAAATTTAATGGCATATTCTAAAAATCTTCTTCTCAAGAACTATTGTGCCAGAAGAAATGAAACTTTCTGAAAATCTCATTACAGTGTAGATTCAAGTTGTTCAAATCTTAAAATCTTCAGATCATGACCCCTGAGGCTAGGGTGGGGCTACAATGGGCAATCAAAGTTTTACATATATAGGAATATATACAGAAAATCTTTAAAAATCTTCTTCCCAAAAAGAGCAAGCCCATGATAAGTCATATATGGAAGAATTCTCAGGTAGTATAGATTCAAATCTGTTCAAATCGTGACTCCTGGGGGAAGGGTGGGGCCACAATGGATCATCAAAGGTTTACATAGGAGAATATGGGGAAGATGTTTAAAAACCTTCTCTAGAAAAGCAAAGCAATAATTAACCAACTGTCTTATTTAAATGGAAACATCTTCAGGTAGTGTATATTTAAGTTTGTACAAATCATGACTCCTGGGGGTAGGTTGGGGCCACAAATTTTTTCATAGGACTATATGGGAAAAATGTTTAAAAATCTTCTTCTCAAGAAAAGCAAAGTCATTGTTAGTCATATTTATATGGAAACATCTTCTGGTAGTGATATTCAAGTTTGTTCAAATCATGAACCCCATGGGTAGGGTGGGGCACAATGGGCATCTCAAATGTTAACGTAAGAGTATATAGGGAAAATCATTTAAAAATCTTCTCAACAACAGCAAAGCCATGATTAGTAATTTTTAGCTCACCTGAGCTGAAGGCTCATGTGAGCTTTTCCAATTGAAAAGTTATGTTGTCCTTTGTGCCCCAATCTTTGTCCCAAAGGCAATCATTTCCCTTTTACTTGCAAACATGCTTGCATATGTGTGACAACTTGTAACCTCAAGTTCTTAAGAAGCAATCCTTCCTACAAATTTTAATATAAAACTTTGTAACCCTTTTTTGGCCCCTTGCTAGTAAAAAAATTAAATCAGTATCTATAACAGAAGATGCACAAGAAGTTTTGTCATTACTGGCTCTAAAAGTTCTTGACCCTAATTTCATTTCTTAGCACCCCCCTCCCCATTGAAAGGAACATGATCCTCATCACCCAAGAATGCTTTGTGACAAGTTTAGTTTAAATTGGCTCAATAGTTTTTGGACAAGTCTATTGGAAAATGTAAAAAGTGTGGGGGTCAGACAGACTAATGATCACAAGTGACCAGATATCTCAGTTGATGGACCTGACTAGTGACTCAGGGAGCCCGGGTTCAAATACTGGTTTGGTCCATTACATTTTTCTCCCTTCATATTACATATTTGGTGCCATTCCATGCCCTGGAAGTGACGGGTGAGAGATTTGCCAGCGAAGAGCCTGGGTTGGTGTCTTGGGGGGTGAAGACCTTAAAGGAGGGAGTAATATGGTGGTTAAACAGATTTAATCCCCCATGGCCAGATACTGTAAATCACTTTTTACTTGCAAGAACTTTATTTTCACATAATTTTCTAACGTAGTCTGTTCATAAAAATTTCATTCTGGCATATAATTGTATTATTTTAAGTTATGTTGAACAAAAACCAGACTTCCATGAAAATTTTGTCTCGCTTATTAATGCAATATTACTAACACAAAAATAAGGTGTTGTTGAAATATGCTTTACAGTAGCTTGGTAGAGCACCTGACTAGTGATGCAGGGGGCCCAGTTTCAAATCCTGGTTTGGTCCATCACATTTTTTCCTTTCCTATTACAGATGGACAAAAGTCAGCTGAGAGACCCAGAAGTGACAAAAAAAAAATACAGAATAACTCAATTAGCAAACCAGGCTATTTGTTACAAGAAAGTGATCTTTTTGAAGATACTTTTAACTTCAAATACTGAAATTATCATGGTAAATTAATAATGTTTATTAGCATAAAATAAGAAAGAAAATCCCGAGATGTGTTTAGTTTACTCCAACTATGCAGTTTAAAACAGCAAAGAAGCAACAATGTAACAATCAACAATAGTTAACTTCAGTAATGACTTTTGGTGCTGTGCATGCTGGCCCATACAAGGTGCAGAGGAAAGGCAGGCAAATTGTTCTTTACTTCACCAACTTTGTAATAAAAGCATCTTTATTCATACTTCATAAAATCTTAAATCAATTACCATCCAATTTTACTATGGATTCATTATGTTTCTGTAAGGGAGGGTGGGGGCAAGTTTGTCTATAAACTGGAAACTTTTAAAAAACACAGTTAATTTCAGGTGATTTAATGGCCAAGAAAATAGACACATTCTAAGAGAATGTCTAAATCTTGTTTATTGGGGATGAACTCCTCCAACTTGTGGTATACAATATAGGTACATTTTATTATAAGCATAAACAGCAGAGCAAAAACTCAGTGAAAAAAAGTCACACACACTGGTTTTGTGGTTATACAAATTATCAGCTCTGGTCAGATACATTGATGTTTCATGTATAAAGGTCCATTCTAATTTTCCATTTCAGGTATCACAAATACTATATATTATTAATATACATGTATATGGATATCACAAATTTAAAATGACAGTCTTAAGATACCCAACAAGTATTCAAAGTAAGAAAAAAAAAGGATTACTGACAATATTTTTTTTCAAGTTTCACTGAATAAAAATTAAGCATGTGTAATTTTGCCATTTTTCTAAGAGTTTACAGACACACCTAAACAAATTCCTAAAGGAGACAATGGTAAAACATATCTTTGTAGTTCCTCATTTTAATGCACAGTTTTTTCATAAAAAGGGAAGAAAATTTGAATACAATATTTTAATATTAAAATACTAGTACCTAATCCATTTCTATTCCGATGATATATTTCTTTTTATAGTTACACTTGGAAACTTTTGCATATTAAACACTTTTGCAAAAATTTAGTTTTCAATACACGTGTTGTGAAATTCAAAATCTACACTTGCACCAATCTTGCTAAATTACTTTGCCACAGTTTCATATGCACCAACTGTTTATAACTCCTAGATTTGTTGAAGACTGAGTATGGGCCTAGATTTGTTTAGTAGGTAGAACACCCACTTTTCTGGTCAGTCTCTCACGTAACGACAAAGCCGGAGCAACTTTCTTACTGCTCTCCTCCTCCACCTGTGATAAAAAAAGAAAGATACTAGAAATATGTCCATAGGACATGAATGCCCCACCGAGGGTATATTAGTAAGCAACATGAAAATTTGTATTAGTGTATGAAATTTGATGAGAATATCTTGAATAGTTTCTTTTAAATTGAAATCTAAAAAGTTGGATATAGATGATAAATTCTCACCAAATTATGTATAAAAGCATAAGCTTACATAAATATATCTTAAATGATTTCTTTAAAACTTAGCAAAATGCAAATTTAAGAAAAGTGAGGTCAAGGTTACATGAAAGTTCAAGCTCAAACATTTTTGATGCAGTTGAATAGTTCTCACAAATACGTATCAGCATATTAAGTTTGATAAAAATATTTTGAATGGTTTATTTAAAACAGAGCTAAAAACTAATTTAAAATAAATGAACTGAAGGTCGAAGGAAAGGTGAAGGTCAAAAAATGTTGATGCAGTTAAAAAGCTTACATCAGTATGTATTAGCACATGAAGTTTGATAAAAATATTATGAATGGTTTCTTTAAAACTGAGCAAAACTGAGTTAAACACAAATTGAGAAAAGTAAGGTCAAGGTCAAATGAAAGGTATTAAATGTTGATGCAGTTGAAAAGCTTACATCAGTATGTATCAGCATATGAAATTTGACACAATTTAAGAAAAGTGAGGTCAAGGTCAAAGAAAAGGTCAAGGTCAAAAAATGTTGATGCAGTTGAATAGCTCTCATCAGTATGTATCAGCATATGAAGTTTGATAAAAATATTTTGACTGGTTTCTTTAAAACCGGGCTAAACACTAATTTTAAAAAAAGTGAGGTCAAGGTCAAAGGAAAGGTCAAGGTCAAAAAATGTTGATGCAGTTGAATAGCTCTCATCATTATGTATCAACATATGAACTTTGATAACACTATCCTGAATGGTTTCTTTAAAATTGAGCTAAACACTAATTTAAGAAAAGTGAGGTCTAGGTCAAAAAACATTGATGCAGTTGAATAGCTTACATCAGTATGTATCAACATATGAAGTTTGATTACACTATCTTGAATGGTATCTTTAAAAACTGAGCTAAACACTAATTTAGGAAAAATGAGGTCAAGGTCAAAGGAAAGGTCAAGGTCAAAAAATGTTGATGCAGTTGCATAGCTCTCATCAATATCTATCAGGATATGAAGCTTGATAAAAATATCTTGGATAGTTTCTTTGAAACTGACCTTTGAACTGAGCTACACGCAGAGCATGACGAAAGGATGGAAGACGAACATGACAAACACTATATGCCCCGGCCATATTCATGGTGGAGCATAAAAATATTTATTTTGTCAAACAAAGCTGCATGATTACTGTCTGAACACACATGATTATTGGAACGTTGAGACTTACCCTGTTGATAACATGTTTATTGACTAAACCTTCATCATTGAGGTAATAAAGGGATATTCCATCATACCATCTAAAAAATACAAAACAATACATCAGTAGACAGAATTATGTCAAATAGCAAAATAAAGGGATATTCCATCATACCATCTAAAAAATACAAAACAATACATCAGTAGACAGAATTATGTCAAATAGCAAAATAAAGGGAATTTTAAAATCTTCATTCCAAAAAATCTGTAAAAATATAATTAACAAAATTATTAACATACACAGCATCTTTTTCTAAAACTCTGTCAGGAATTTTTGAGATCTTCCAGAATTTTCCATATACATTAAGGCGTTTCATTGCTGCCAACTGCTTCAGTCCTAAAATCCTCCATCGAACACGCACAAAATTCTCATCCAAGTCACATGAGGTATTTAGCAAACACATCCTAGTGTGAATAAAGCGTAAGCCTGTCATGGTCTGTAGCGTCCACACTTTAGCTTTGTAGCGCTGAATTCCACTAAAAAGGAAAAAAATAATGATCATTGAAGAAAGCTAATATATACCTAAATTCCACTTTATACATATTAAATAAAGGAAGTTTAATTATTGGTCTACTTACAGAGTAATTTCCCTTTTCCCCCAATAATTATTCTCCAGTACAATATTGGGTGAATAGGCATCAAAAGATATACCTATTTCAAATAGTGGAGGAAGCTGAAATGTCAAGACATTTGCATAAAAGACATTGATTGATTCAAGGGAGTTGGAGGAGGCAAATATTTATGGTGCAGTTTACCACATTTTCCTTAAAGACTAAACTATTGCAATATATAAGCTGAGAAAAAAAAATGTTGATATTGAAGTGAAACTTTTACTTGAGTACATCAAGTGAAGAAAACTTCTAAAAAATATAAGCTCTCTACATATTAGCATTAATCGGTCTGGAACACCTCTCTTGTACATTTAATCAAATATCTCATACAGACTGCTCAAGAAAAGCCTTCATTTTCAGTAGATTCTCCTCTCGCCTTGCTCTTTTCTTCTCAAACTCTGAATCTGTTGGGGTTCCTCCTGAACTTTCTCCATTGAATAAAAAAGTGTCCCCTGCATTAGGGACTGAGCTACATTTAAAATCACTTTCAAAGGTCAAATGTGACACAAGTCCCAACTTATCTAGGTTTTGTGCTACATTGTGTTTATTAAGGTTGCTGTTAGATAAAGATGTTCTTTTAAGTGTACTGCACTTTCTACTATTAATCTTCTCATGACTTTCTTTAACTAATTCACATCTTAAAATTGTCTCAAAATCAAATGAATTGTCAAAAATTCCTGAGATGTTTCCATTGTATGATGTTTTTTTCTTGGTACATTCTTCAAGGATTTTGTCTAAATTGTTGATTGATACCTATAATGAAAAAGGTCATCGAGCAATCATTAAAGTGAGTTCAATAATGTGATGTTTAAATCTGAATCAAGCAAGTACTGAGTTCAAGTAGTCATACAAGTTATCCAAGATGAGAAGTGAATTAAGCTAAATCCCATCGTCAAAAATTTAAAGTATTTCCAGATAACTCAGTACTTTTTAGCTGCTGTTTGACTTTTTACTTGGATGACGAAATGCACACTGCTGCACTGTTGTTATGTGATAAAGGTACCCTTACCCTGGGATTCCCACAGGTTACTGTAGTTGCACTCTGCACTCTTTTGTCTATGTGAGTAAATCCGGGCGTCTGCAAGAAATCAACAACAGATCTAGAGGCTCGTATTCGCTGGCTGATACATCGAATATGGAATGCCATCATGCGACACCCCTAGCAGAAGTCAGAGACTGGGAGAATGTCCTTGCTAATACCTCGTTTTTTCACATGAAATGTATTACAATAATAAAGCTAATTAAGGAAAAGGCATAAAGAATCGAATATATTTTATTGTATTAGAGTGATGTGTTGACGTACATTTTGAATACAATCCACAATTGAATTAGTCAGGATGTATTAAAAATGGTTATTAGCCAACACTAGTTGCATTATTTTGGCTAACTTTAAAAGATTTTTTTTTGTTTTAATCTCAATATTTACGGTAATTAGTCGACAAGTTTAAGTGTAGTACAAACCCGATCCTTACCATATTTATAGAATCTTCAAAACTTCAGGTACATCCATTAATAGATTAAGTAACAATTATCCCGATATAGATAATACAATTTTGCAGAAATAAATAAATAAATTGATTGAACTTTTAAATTGCACATAGTTCAGTTTACCACAAGAAAATAGATCGGGATCGAAATTCAACCAGGATGCAGAAGGATCAAGTACTGATCACTGATATTTTTATAATTTTATATTATTCATCATCTTAAAATATATTATACCAATGTTTGGACTAAAGGGGCCCATTATTGTTGAACTTAATGGTTTTGTTTATGTACCTTTGAGAGTAATTAAGGACAATATCTATTAATCATTTTGAAAATAATTCATAATCTGTATATTCAGAAACATAATTATAAACTTATTTATGTGTCTGTCTCTCTAAAATCATTAGTTTTGATTTGATTAAGAAGTTAACCTGATTTGGGAATGAAATTTATCTTTAATATTTCAGTAACCGTCATGGTTTAAAGAAACATGAAGAAGCTTGTTCGCTGTAGGAGTTTCTGCGGCAGACATATTCTGATCAGGGGAACACACACGCTGCTGGTCTTAGGGGTTCCTGCTACTCTGCTATATAAAGAAACATGTAAGTGAACAGATAACAAAACATGAAGAAAAACTAAGTCAGTATTTCCTCGAGTCTTTGATTCGGCTTACATTTTATGCCCCCTAGATTGATTGCTTGTATGTTGTTTTACGTCTTGTTCCTGTTCGAGAATTTTTCACTCATATAGAGACGTCACCATATAACCGTTGAAGGGCCTCAAATTTAGAACTTTACTAGGCACTCAGAGCCATTGAGCAATGAGGGTTCTTTATCATGCCAATGCCTACCGTGACATAGGGGTGAAACGATACACCTCCTTCACGGTTCGATACGTATTGTATAATTTTGTCTGGGTTCGGTTATTTTCGATACGATACATTTTGATAGAAGGAAACAAATTCAACGTTGTTTTATGCTTTCTTTTTCTAAATCTAGTCACATATTTTACGAATTTTATTTGCAAATTGACTAGAAGAAATTGACTAAAATTATTTGACTGTCAAAAATTATTTTACAAGCTATCAGTCATCAAAAATTTACGTTTTCTATACTTATTTATACTGAGGAGCGTGTTTTACCTTATGCCAAACCATGCAAACCCGACTGAATAACGATCCCGACCAAAAAATGAACCGAACCGAAAATTAGAGATTTTGCACCGTGTATCAAACCGAGAAAAAATACCGCGGTGAATCGATACCGCGGTGAACCGTTTCACTCCTACCGTGACACGATGCCTCGGTTTTTAAAGTCTCATCCGAAGGACCACTAACTTTCATTTCGAAGTGCCGAGTGCTTGGTGAAGGAACACAGTTGCAACCTATCTTTTATTGAGTCACGGCCATGATTCAACACATGACCTTCAGATCACGGAGCAAGTGCTGTACTGACTGAGCTACTGTGACAGCCCCTTAGGTTGAGGATTGGACCATTTTTTAGATAGCCACTTTTACATGTTCAAGAAAATCTTTAGAATTTATAATATGCCCTGTGTATTATCCACAGTATGTGATCCCGATCCTGATTATTTTTCTACAATGTACAGTGATACATGTACCTATTTACAGGATATTAAATCGGTGATTTTTTTTAATTCATATGATGTTTATTTATTAAGTCTTTTATAAAATTCAAAGTAATGGAACTGTTGAGCTAAGTCATTTATTTAGAGTTACCAGATTCTATGAAGTGACCTTGAGAAGGAGACTGGATTAAAGAAAAGTACAACCTGATACTATGAATGTTAGGCCTTAATTGTTATTCCTTAAAAAATAAAAACAACACAAGTTCATTATATTATACATATATATATATTTATTTGTTTATATCTGGTGTTATCACTTACAAAATATTAAGGAATAAAAATATAGCCAGCATACTCTTAATATTCTGTTTATTAATTATGATCAGTAATCACCAACAAGATCCATTCACGACATTTTATAAACATCTAGGAGATAGAATGAAAGTGTAAAATTTCATTCTTTTATTTACTTAATTTATTGGTAATTATATTTAATGCCTTTTGCACTGATTCTTGTCAGCTAATGCAAGTACATGCCAATGTATGATTTATATAAATACATATAGAGGAAAATACGGTAATTTATGATTATGCTACAGTAAAACTTGGTTATAGTGAAGTTCTGGGGACCTGAGAATTTACTTTGCTATATCTGGAATTTGTTTTATCGGTATAACGCCTGAACGAATTCATTAAAGTATACATAGTGAATTCTCATTATAGAAGTATGACTACGAAATGTATTTAGGGAAGTATAAAACACAAGATTTACCTTGGAGTTCAAAATTTTTCAGATGAATAGAGTTTCAGATATATATACTTATTACATCAATATTTTAAAAATTAAAATCTTTAAAAATTCACTATAAAAGATGTATATTTCGTTATTTTTAACTTCTAAGGGACACAGAATTAGTTCGCTATAACTGTAAATTCACTACATCCAAGTTGGTTATATATAGAAGATTTTACATGGAATTACCAAAGTTTTTGCCGGAGATTGCAAAAAACTTACCTATGTCCGTAATTTCGCTATATATCTGTGTTTGTACTAAATGAGTTTTACTGTAATTGGAAGATTGTGCTAAATTTTGAGTGAGTCAATTTATGTACATTTACAGTTGGTATCTATTATCATAAATTAAAAATACCAGGCATCATGTTGATTTAGTGTAAAGGAAATCCTCTGTTGTGACTTCTCAGGTAGCAAGCTGTGAATATCTCTCCGGAGACAATGTTGCATTTGCTCATTCCATATCCAATGTTACTTGTCAGACCTGTTATTTTTTTTGGGGGGGGGGGGGGGGGTATTTATTTTCAAATAAACTATCTGTTTGTGCAGTTCAATTTAATTGGAATTTTTAGTATGATTAATTAATATAGTCAAACCTCGTTATCTCGAACTCCATGGGACCGAAAAAAAACTTCGAGATATCAGAGGATTCGGGATATCAGGGGTAAAATACTTAAAGAATAAGGGGGTGGGACTTTAAAATCACTTTATCCATGGTATTTGAGATATCAGTGTTTGAGATACCGAAGTTCAACTGTATATATAATTAATATTATCTGCTAAAGACAGGAGAAAGAACGAATTTCCTTCTGGTTTTTTTCATGTGCAGCATTGAAGAAGGCTCTTGTTGACAGAGAGGACTTGGTGTATGGATGTAGTTATGTCCTGCTTGTCCTAGTAGCTCTGATCGCATATTTTGCTGCATGTTTAAAAAATCCTGGATACATTGGACAAAAGCATTCAAAGCGGGTAAGTTAGATGAATTCAAAACTTTTAATGAGAGTTATGGTTCTTTGTATGTGTACATGTTCTTACTGTGGGAAGGCTGAGAATATACTACTTGTTACTTCTCTATTGTGTTGCTATGGATAATCAGAAATGAATTTTTATACAAAATATGTCAAAAGAAAGGTCAGTTTGCTTTTTGTAATGTTAAAGATTTAAGGGTGAAGATAGTGAAAGTTCTTTGTTAGAAGTGTTACTTGTAGTAATCTAAGCAGATCTATAAATAAAACAAACCAAAAAAAAAAATGTTAACAGGTCAGTTTCAGGGTTTATCCTAAAGAAGTACATTATTTCATTTCAGTATTAGAATAGATATGATTTGAAACATGGTTTCAGATAAGATAATAAATAAGATTCTCTCAGGCCCGCATCTTCATTAAATAAATGCAATAATTAAAAAAAAATGTAATACTGTAATGAAAGTAATAAATTTAACAAATGCAATGAATGGAATGAATGCCATGAGAATTACAACAACAAATATAAAATATGTTTGTCACAAAACAATAAGAATTTCTCTTTCTATATCAATTATTTAAATACACTGCTTAAAGGGAGGTAACTCTTTACAAGAATTCATATTAATTAACCCTCCCATTACATTTTAGAAAAAATGGAATATTGATATATATTGCAACACAGAAATTACTTTTAATTTTCATAATTGTCATAGAATAACATAGTAAAGCTACATACAGGAACACTAGCTTAAGTTATCAGAGGGAAGTATTGTCTGTCTAATATCTAGCACTACCAAAGCTAATGGCTTGTGTATAAACCCTCTGGTCAAAAACTAGAAAAAAATTACTTGAACAACTAAGAAGTTTATTGGGGAAAATGTACCAAACCAACACAACACAATCTAACAAAGTACAAACCAGTGAAAACTCAAAATACATACAAACCAGTAACAAGAACCCTTATAACCCATGGCAGTAATAATTATGTTTGGATACTGTCTGTTCTACTTTGGTGATTTAAAAAATTGAAATATAAACAACTATTTTATTACTTTAAAATATGAAATGTATATTAATTGAAAAAATAGATTAATAGATCACACTGTAACATACATGTAACAGTAAATATTTACTCAATGTTTAGTACATGCTTTGATTTTTATTGTCAATAAAATCTAGATATCAAAGGCTTCATCAGAAAAACTTGAGGACTTGGAGGATGATGTTTCAGACACAACTCCCATGATGCATCAGTCAGATAATTCTCCACTGATTGGTCAATCAGAGACTAATGAGGAAAGATTGAAGGCCCTGAAGCAGCGCTTTAGATATTGTGATTATTGTGAAATAGAGGTACAGTAACATGTTTCTTGAAGCAGTTTTTGAATAAGTTATACATTTAGTATAAATACTTTGTACCACTATTAGCCATGAATCTTCTATTAAACAAAATGAAATTGATGTGTTGAAGGTTATTCTGGATATCAGTTATGCATGTGATTGGACTGCATATCAAATCAAAATGTCAAGTAAACATTTTGTTTATAAATTTGAAATGAATTGTGTGTGATGTTCTGAATATAATTGGAAACACTGCATGGTAACCATGTTTTAACTTTGGTGTCAGCAACCAATGCGTACAAAGCACTGTGAGGATTGTAAGAAGTGTGTGAGGAAACATGACCACCATTGTCCGTGGCTGGACGCCTGTGTGGGGGAAGGCAACCACAAGTACTTCTGGACCTTCCTGTTGGTCACCACCATCCTGATTCTCTGGACCTTTGCAATCACATGGTGAGTTCAGAATGGACTTGAATAGAAAATCATAAAATTGTTTTTTAAGCTGACCTGAGGCAGAGGCTCCAATCCATGCATCCTCTAATGGGCCTTTTTGAACATGCAATGTATACACCAACATTTCTGTTATCACCCCTAACATCATACAAATAAGTTTATTTATATGGATATTGGATAATTTAATAAATACATATATTTTTTTTAGAAATATTTTGTCATTCAGACTGATTATAAAGCTGCCTACTCCTGTTCTACTGATCTTTTAACAAATCACTCCATAGTAGAATTACATTGAACATGAAGTTGAGCAAATCAGATTTTGCGTTTAAATGTTCTTGTTATTACCATTTAATGATAAAATGGAAGTTAAAAGCTAGTATTGATTCCAGTTCAACAAGAATTCAAAGAAGTGATTCTGATTACAGGTAACTCTTGATGGCTCGAACTTCGATCTCTCGAAGTTCTTGATCGCTCGAAGTGAGTCTCCGGTCCCGAATTTTTCCCCTATATAACTAAGCAAATTTATTCTTGATTTCTCGAACTCTTGATCTCTCAAAACCCTTGATCTCTCGAAGTCAAAATGTGGTCCCGCTATATATATTCTATTAGAATTTACACTCAATACCTCGAAGTGGCTATATGTATACAAGGTTATATAATTAGCACCTTTACCTGGACATTTAAATGGCCCCAGGCAGAAGACGCAGGTCTCAAGGAACGGGATGTTTATTCAGGTGACACATATGCTGCAAGGTGATACCATATTTGGCCGAATATAATACGCATTGGTGTAAAATATGCACCTCCCTTTTTGAGCCTGAAACTGGGGAAAAAAATGCAGTTCGGTTGTATTATATGCAGCAGAAAATTTTACCAAGCGGTGTTCTGAACTTTTGAAAATCGCGGTAATTTGCTATGAAAATCGGCGCGGAGATGAAGTGCCGAAAATTTACAGAACACGATATTTTATTCAAATGCGTTTTTATTTCTTAATCTTGACTTTCTACATCGCAGCAATCTGGAGGAAATTATTTTAACAAAGCACGAGATAATGTTGCATTAAAGTATTAACAGACTTTATTATTAATTTTTTTAGCATACGGTGATACTGAAATTATGCGTCGCCGTATTCTAACTATTCTTTGTGGAAATAATTTTATTTCAACAAAGCACGAGATATTGTTGCAAGTTTAACAGTTGTCATATTTATTTTTAGTTTAAGGTAATCATGTTGAAAATTATGTAAATTTAACAAGGCAAGTGATATTGCAACATCAAAGTATTCATAGACTACGTTTTTCCTCTTTTGAACTTGAAATTAATTAATTAAATAAATAGCTGATGTTATAAAAATAAAATCAAAATTTAATAAGCGTGTAAAGTGTTGTTATCAACACACCTCCAAAGCTGTGAAAAATGATGTACAAAGGTGGGATATATGTCTTCATACATCGAGGTAATCTTTGTGGGTATCTTATTTTCTACAGAGCACGAGTAAATGATAACACTTTAGTTTCGTATTTCCTTTTTTAACTCTCAATCATTTTAACACGAGGCCGATATAAGATGAAGTAAAATTACATTTAACAAGCGTTTAACTGTTTAATGTGTTGTAATCAACACACGCTTATACATACGAAAGATCATAAAACAACCCCCGATTTTTAACAAAGAAAATAATCAAAGCCATTAATAAGGGCAGTAAATAATCAGTGCTCTAACTGTAAAAACAATGCTTTGGAGTCGGTAAACAATTTAATTGCCTGGAGGGGTGTTGAGGGGTAATTATCAAGTGACAAGTGCACGTGTTCACAACATTGGCTTCCATCCATTGGGACGTACTGAGGGGTGTTTATGTTGAAATGAATTTTCACTGAGTTATTTAAAACCTAAAATAAATTTTATTTTATTGTATTTCATTAAAAAATGACTTATTACTTATTTGACCGAGTGTCTGACTGATTAGGTACATGTGTACTTTAATTAGCCTACGGAAGCACGTGGCAAAGGAATGTGTGAACATCTATAAATAACATCTTTAATGGCGGTCTACACGGAGACGATGAACATGCAGCTCAAATTAATTTTAACTTGCTTTTAAATTTAATTTAACTATCAAAAGGTTATAAATATAACATTTTTAACAAGCCTACATTCCAACAATAACTTTCCGAAGTTTTAAACACAGCGATAAACAGCAAGAAATTGCATTAGTCTCTAGGTAATACTATGGTATGTGCGTATGATAGCCGTGTTTCACATGAAAGAAAAACCTATCAAAATCCCATTGTGGTGTAAAATACGCTCCCCTTTCTCACAGAAAATTATTTTGGGAAAAAAGTGCGTATTATATTCAACCAAATACGGTAATTGATTTATAGTTAATCATATTTTGCCTATATGCTATTAAAATAATTATAAAATAATTATCATCAACTGTCTTTCGATAATTTAGAGAAGCAGAGTCAGTGAAAAGTAGTAATTGATTAGAAGACAAAACACTAATTTAATTTTTATTTCGAGTCAGTGTCAAAGTTAAACGAAATATAATAAAGCAGAAACAGCCTCAATGTCAATATGACGAGTATTATTGGACAAATACTTAAAGAACTGCGTTCAATAGTTATGTTTGGAATAGTCAATGCTATGTGCGATGCTGTAAAATGTCGTTTTCATGTAACAAATGATGTCCGTATTACAAAGAATGAATAAATATACATGAAAATGACGATTTACATTTTTTGCTTTACTCAGTTTAATAAAATATTCATCTAAATTACTAAAAAATATCGTTGTTTTATAAAAACCACGTGTAAAAGGTTAGCACTGCATGAAAATCATTACATCCGGTTAGACTAATTTTAAAACCTGTCAACAAACCCGGAAAATTCCGAACTCTTGAAAACTCGAACTCTTGATCTCTCGAAGTTTTTCCTCGGTCTTGCGGACTTCAAGGTATCGAGAGTTCCTGTATTTGCAAGTCTAATTTGTCAGATTTTTAAAATTCATTGTTTAGTGCTTTCCAGTACTTGCAGTACTTTGATTTGGACTGGGTCAATTCTCAGGTGTTTCTCATTCATCATCAAGTATAAACTTTTTATTTGAACAAATTCTAGTTTTTATTAGATCTTACCTTCCTAGAAACACTTCCATATAATAAACTAATCAAACACTGAAATTCAAAATTGTTCAGTTGCTCCTTTATGTTTCAGAAATATTCATTATTGACAAACTCATTGAAAGTATGAAAGATCTATCTGTTAACATGTTCACAAAACCAAAAATATTTTATAACTGGTAAGCTTCAGATTATCTTTGTAGAATATCATTGAACATTTTAATTGTTCAGTACTTCATTTCAGGACAAATTTCCAGTATGAGGTATCTTGGAAAGACTGGTGGAAGAGAAATGCGGTGTTTATCATTGATATGTTAATCCTGTCATTTGGAGGCTTCACTGTGATTGGCCTCCTGGGATTCCATACTTTTCTTATGTTCCGTGGACTGACAACATGGGAACTTGTATCCCGTGAAGGGATCACATATCTTAAACATCTCACTGATGATTTTCACCCATTTGATGAAGGTTGCTTTATGAACATGTATAACTTCCTAACTGTTTGTAAATACAGAGAATGGGAATGTATGTATGATCGAAAAGTGGAACAGAATGAAATAGTGTAGTTGTGAAGCAGTGATAGAAATGAGCAAGGAACATTAAAATGGAAGTGTTGTCTCTGAGAAATTAAGAGGTCAGAACCAAAGTGCTTGATTTTTAGCTCACCTGAGCCAAACGCTCAAGTGAGGTTTTCTGAAAGCAATTTTCCCGTTGTCTGTTGTCATCATTGTTGTTGCGTAAACTTTTCACAAATTCTTCTTCTTCTTCAGAACCACTGGGCCAATTTCAACCAAACTTGCCACAAAACATCATTGAGTGAAGGGGATCCAAGTTTCTTCAAATAAAGAACCCCCCCCCCCCCCCTCTGTCAAGAGGAGATAATTAAGAAATATGCAAAAATTGGGTGTGGTCATTTATGGCCTCATGGAATAGGGTGGGGCCACAATGGGGGATCAAAGTTTTATGTGACACTATATAAAGAAAATGTTTAAAATCTTTTTCTCAAGAATTGGAGTGCCATTATCAGTAATATGGGAATACATACAGAAAATATTTTGTTATCTTCTTTTCAAGAATAGCAGGACATGAGTAGTGATATAAATATGCAATCATCCTGAGGTAGTGCAGATTCAAGTTTACTCAAATCATGCTCCCCCTGGGGTAGGATAGGGCCATCATAGGGGATCAAAGTTTTACAAAGGAATATATAGGGAAAATGTTTTTTAATCTTATTTTCGAGAAAGCAAGGCCATGACTAGTGATATAAATATGCAAGCATTCACAGGTAGTGCAGATTCAGTTTGTTCAAATCATGGAACCCCGACCCAAGCCTGAGGTAAGTAAGAGCTACAACAGGGACATCAAAGTTTTCCAAGGAAATTAATAATGATTTTATTTTTAAAACATTCTTTTAAAATTAGGAGGGCCACTCTAAACTGAACGGATGATAAAACATGAGAACAAGAAGGTCATATTAATCATAATGTTACTGAAGCATCTCCAGGATGTGTTGATTCAAGTGAGGTGTCAAGACCCTCTGGAGCTAGGGTCAGGCCTATGGAGTAGGCATTTTTTGTCTGAATAAAAATGACTTTTTTTTCAAATCTTGTGATTAAGAATAGTTTGGCCAAGAGGACTCAGCTGAGCATTGTGGCCTGTGAACCTCTTGTGAATTATTGGTATATTCTTCAAGAAAATACAGAATGTTTTGGTCAAAAAATTAGTAATAATTTTGAGAGAAGAAAAGTGATTTTTGCTTTGCAATTTTTTAAGAAATGTAAGCAACGTTTTATTTATGAAAGTAAAATACAGTTGAACTTCAATATCTGAAACACTGATATCTCAAATACCATGGATATGTTGAAGTGAATTAGAAGTCCCAACCACTTATTCTTTAAGTATTTAACCCTTGATATCTCAAATACTTGGATATTTCGAGGTTTTTTCTTGGTGCCATTGAGTTCAAGATAATGAGGTTTCACTGTATTCAATACAAATGTTTTTTTGTAGCAGAATAATAAGTTATTTTCCCCAAAATATTTGTGTATTTTATAGATTTAAATTATATGTTAGTGTGAAAAAGAGTGATTTATTTTCCTGAATGCTAAATTGTCTAACCTGTAAATTTGCAATAATACTGTGGAATCATCATTGTTTATGGGAGACCAATATTCATGAATTGTCACCCTTACCACAAATTTACATCCTCATGAAGGTTAACTTTGTCAGTGTATTGGTTTATTGAGTCTTCTAGTGTTACCCAAGAAATTACGTCAGTACAAATTGGTGAAATTTTGGTACCCACAGACATTGACCCTTATGAATTAAATGATTCCAAAGTATGCTCTACTGATTGAAGATTTTTCTGTGATTTGCACATAATTATACTGAATAGAGTTGATGAAGTTTTGATGCCTGAAATTTTGTAGAAAAGTGCATCGAGCCTTTTGATATGTTTCTTGTTGTCAGTTTTTTTGTACTATATAATTTTTTTTAGCCTAATACATTTAATACATATATGTTGCCCAACGACATATTTCAATCCAAAGACACACAGTGAATGCAGCATTTTTTTTTTTACTTAAATGTATGAAATCAAAAAAAAAGTAAAATACAAAGCATACATGAAATCCTTTCCTGCTTTCTTCTTGGGATATTTTGACACAGCTTTTTACTACAGGAGAAGTATTTACAGAAGCTGTTAAGTGTCACAGAATGAAATAAAGTTTGTGAATATACAGGAAAACTTGGATAAATCTATGTCCTGGGGACCTGTGAATTTATTTTGTTATATCCGTAATTCCTTATATCCTTAGATATGTATATATATAGGGAATTTTTTTCCCTTTAAATTTGTCAACCAATACCAAATATGTTCAGGGAAGTATTAAATATAAACCTTAACTTGGAGGACTTTAGTTTTCTGATGAAATAATTTCAAATATGAATACACTGAAGAAAAATAATGTCAGTTTAACATTTTGACATCTTTAAAAATTCGTTATAAATTTCATTATATTTTATATGTATGGGACACAAAATGAATTAGCTATATCCATAAATTCATTATATTAGAATTCGATGGTAGCCTAAAATTTTACAAGAAATTGGTAAGATTTTTGCCGCGGATCCCCAAAGATTTCGTTATATACATTTACGTAAATCCTTTGTTATATCCTTGTTCGTATTAAACGAGTTTTGTACCATACTCAGTTCACAGGAGTTTCTGCACTGCTTTTCCTGTAGAAAATAACTTTGATATTTTTTATGTAAAACTTTTAACTCTCATGTGTCTATAGAAGTGGCATAGGTAGGCAACCACATCATTTTCAATAGAGAGGGAGAGAATATAAAATTAAATAAAAGCAACAACAAACTATATCATATTCATAGATGAATGAAATCCATATTATATTATTTTTTTTTTTAATTTCCAAAATGTTTACAACGAAAATGTGCTATAATAAAGGATAAGGTTTTGGGTATTCTGTATTTCTTACATGGTGAAATTTTGCATTAAAACTGACATACAGTCAAACCTGCCGTAGCGGCCCACTGTATTTAGCGACTTCCTGTCTTATGTGACCTTTCAATTTCTTCCCGATAATTTTTTATTATATTTTATCTGCATTCAGCGACTCCCTATCTAACGCAACATGCGGTCATCGTTTTTCACTCTAAAGCAGCATAAAACCCTTAATTTGTCAACTTGCAGTCCTACTATTGATAAGAAAGGTTATAAAATTATAATTTTTTAGTTTTAGTTTAATTTACCCCCCCCCCCTATGTACAGAAAGATGTTTGTAAAAATCTACTCATAAATGGAATATTTCACATGAAGTATCTAATAGAAAGGTATCTAATAGAAAGGTATTAAAAAAGAAACATATTTAAAGTAAGTATAGATTAACCAATCTCTTTTGCAGAGTTGTCGTTCGTTCCTCTCCGATATGTCAACAAGAAGTTTACAATTTATGCATAAAAAAATTCCTTGATTTTTCTTTGTGATATCGTAGCGTTTTTGTTTTTCCTGTTCGGACATAATCTTGTCATGAGTAGTTTTTGTCCTTAACGCTGTCGTAAAACAAACCTGTTTTGGACATTCACACTTAAACCCATTAGGAATTAAAACATTTTCCACGAAATGACAAATTACATGTAAAAATAAGTAAATAATGAAATAAAATAAAAAAGATAATAATAAGCATCACCCTTAAAAAGTTTAATATAACGTTCGATCGCTACTTAGGTGTCTAGGAAATAAACGTCATATATAGAAGTAGAACACAGTTTCAAGGCCAACATCATTCTCTCAGGAAAAAATCTAAAATTACATCTTTTTAACGTCGAAAAATAATTAATTGGACTAAACCATGTTTTTAATGGGGCTGTATTATCAAGGCTGTACCACTCTGTTCGTCAAACCAAACATCTGTGCGTGATGTAGAAAATATCTCGATATCTATTATTGTGTTCAGATTTCTCACATGAAGGTCGTGAGGCGGCATACATAATAATTTAATAATACCGATGTATTACAGATTTCAAATGAACACGAAATGTGTAATTCATCTTTGAATAAACACTTGTTAATTTAAAAGGCATTTTGGGCAATTCTTTTTAATTGCAAAAGGTTATAGAGGTGTATCCTGTTGAAGTTATGGCGGATCCAGAAATTTCAGAACGGGGGGGGGGGGGGGGGGTGCTGGAATTAAAAGGGAGTGAACTCCACTGCCCCATCCTTGTCTCTTACGACCTTGATAAATATTCACTTAACAATAGTTGTACTTTATTTTGTAGAAAATTGACAATTCGGACTGGGCACAAGTTGTAAAAATGTAGCACACCCTCTCCCAACATTCTGGAATTTAAGGACAGACGATACGTTCCTCAATAATATATAATTTTTTCTAAGATATTGTCATTGAAGTATTGCTACTTTACTATGTTTACTCGCAAAAAATTGAGGTACCTTACCAGGCATTTGTGCAAGATACCGGAGGATGTTTTTTCCTATAAAATCCTTTTGGAAAAAACTTAATTTGCCAATATCACATTTTTTAGTGTTTCAATTTTTTAAAGACAATTAGAAAGCAGTTTAGAAATCAGAAAGTATTTAATTTTTTTTTAATATTTTCCTTACAATATGAAGATATACAAAACAGATATTTGAGGAACGTATCGTCTGACCTTAAGCAAATATTTTACAACTGTGGATAATAATTTAACACTGACAATTCTTTGCGATGGATAATGATTTGATACAATCATTGGTTCCATCATTTCAGTGCGTTAATGGTGTACAAATCTTATAAGCATTGCTTTAAAAAAGTATTGCATCAACCAACATAATTGATTTTTTTCGATTTTGAATCCAGACATCATCTGCGCTATACATGTACATGTATCTATATTGTTGGGTTTTGTTGTTGGATGGAGGGTTTTCTTAATTGTACTAGTACCTAATCCCCATCGTAAATGATGAAGAATTTTAGATTTTAATAGCAATGTGATGACTTATAAAAAAAATGGTTAGCAGCAATTATCCGAGTGATGCGCGTATGAGTGATTTAAGCCCTCTCAGCTGGAGGTTTTTGATTTGTGATGTGGTCATTTTCTAGTGTAGGAGTTCTTGTGAAGATCTACTGCTGCGGATTTGCTCATTCAAAGGCTACTTATCATTTTTTCAAAGGGTGAATTCTTTTTATAACATTTTGATTTGTAAATTAGCTGGCTGCTGCGGTTCTAGTAACATTTGTAGATTACATTGTCAATGAGCATGCCTTTGCTCTCATTCATAACCACCTCGTCCATTCATAAAGTTAGTTTGGTGAGTCTGGTAATTATGAGCCTGATTTATGGGAACTCCCTTCTGTAAATGACCAGTATAATTGGTTGAAATTGCTAAATGGCACCATACAAGCCTGAAATTGTTAAATACGCCAGTCATTTATTTCGGTTTAATGGACAATAATATAAATACAGTTATTGTTAAGAAGCAAAACACTGGTTTCCTTCACTATGATTATAATGTTCTGTCATACAGATAATCCCAGTTTTGCAGTTTCACAGCAACTGTGCTGCAGGAGAATGTATGAAGAAGTAATATGCTTGTTTTTTTGTTTGATAACTTTCCAAGGATTGCCCAAATATTTGGACAGAAAAAAATATAGATTAGGGAATAATCAATTCAAACACTGCAAAGAATTCTTAGACAACATTTCATCTGGTTTTGTTTTAAACACCGCTAAAAAAAAAAACCCAAATGTATGACACAAGGACAGTTCCCTCAATTTTCGCAAAAGTCATTGAAAACCATATTATAACAAGAAATCTGCGTATATTTATCGTTTTATATCAGTATGGATCCTGGCTGTATCAGTAATCATAATCGGTGCTGAAATCGGCATCACATGGTGTGGGCAGATGGCCGGAAGCTGTTCAGAAACCAATATCGTCCACGCTTACATTGCCGTGTCATTCTGTGGACTACCATCCAAGGCCTAGGCTGTCTGCCAAGGTAACGCTTCAAACATTATTATATGTCCGTTAACAATCATTCTTTTTTTAATTTATAAACTTTTTTCCTGTTCAATAAAAAAAAGTAAAAAAAAAAATATATCAATAAATATTTCAAAATTAAGTAAAATTTCTATGATTTAGTATGTTCGTCATATAAAAATATAGGTACATACATGTAGTAAAATATCTTGATTAATTAATAGTTTCGTTTTGTTTGCTTAAGCTAATAATTTTTTTTAATTAAAGAAATGTTTCTTTTGAAAGAAGTATGTTCCTTATTCACTCGGCAATAAAACTAAATTGTCTCTCTATTTGATATTTATTGTATGTACTATATAATAACTCCTATTCGTGCTAAAAGTAATGACGCAAAATTACACCCTTTTATTTCGATTTTAATAGCAATATCAATGTGGTGCTAAATGCATCAAAAGGTCACAGAAAATGCTTTATATTCCTCTTTTCTTTCAACCATTTTCTATTGTAAAGCATTTCTTTCAAATGAAATAGTCCATGTAATGGTAGATCAATTGAAAACATCAAGACGAGCTCTACAGAAAAATACATCGATGATTTTCCTGATAAAATAAGATCGACATTGAAGGTAAAAAACACACGTTGTACTTAGATGTCTAGCTAATTAAGGTCTTTCAAGATTTATATATTTGGGACATTATCTTTAAAATGAACACGTATAATTATGGGCTATAGGTAAACATATATTCATAATCAAATTATAGAGCCATTGATCTTCTTTAGCCAATAGGTTACATTTTTTTCCAACCATGAAGATTTTTCTCACTCATTCGCCTATGTTCTTTCAAACTTTTCTTAGGCAAAAGTGGGGTTTTATCATCGCTTCGTGTATATTTTTTTTTTCAGATCTAAACTAATTTGTTTATGGAAAAAATAGAGCAAAGGACTAT